AAACAAATGAAAACACAATCAATATTATTACATAATTATTAGATAAATAAATCAATTTATCGCCTACGGCGATATCTTCCAAAAGATCCAATTGATAAAAGAAGATTAATAAAGTTAAATAATAATATCCAATAAGAAAAGGAAACATTGGCAAGAAGAAACGAATTACAGTAAAGTGAACATGCAAAGTATTTCAGAACAAGCAAACATTTAAAAAAAAAGTGTAGTGTGACGAGACTTGACGAAAGAATATAGGTGAGCAAGGGATACCCTAAAAGATGGAAGGCTAGAAGCATTGCGAATGACACCAGGAGGATTGTCGCAGAGTGAAATCGCTTGCAATGTAAAAGACTTATGATAAGTATTGGTGTTATGTATTGGGAAAATGAGTAACGAATCGAAATTAAAGCATATAAATAGCCCCAGACGATGGAGTTATACTCTTTGATTATTAAACTCTTACGATTTGCACTATCAGGAACCATTATTCCTGAGAGTGCAAATCTTGGTGTAATAGCCATTAATTTTTTGATTAATTTTCTTTTTGAAAGAAAATTGTAATTTAAGATAAGAACTTTTATGTTTTAATTTTTAGGTGTAATTTAAAATGGACAATTTATTTTAAATTTAGACATTTACTAAATTTAAAATAAATTATCCGTTTTAAAAAATATGAAGAAAATAAATAAACTTATATACTTCTCTCTGCAATTGTAATTTAATGATTTTCAGTAGAAATGGAGGAAATCAGATCAAAAAGAAGTAAAGTTTGGATTCATTTTTCACAAGTGTCTTGATTGAGGAATTGCCAAGTGCAACATATGCGGTTCCAGATATTCATATAAAGGAGGCTCAACGTCAAATTTAAAAAAACATCTGCAAATTCTATATCACACGTTTCTGCTCAAAAATATATCTGAAACTTCATCAGTATGGTCAAGTTCAGGAAGTACTGAAAGTAAATATTAAATTGCTAGATCTTTTTAACATAGAAAAAATTCAAATTAAGAGTAGTAGACCCAGTGTCTCAAGTTAATTTATTTAGGGTTGATAGTTACACTAACGTTTCGTCTTCTGCGTGGACGCTCTAAATACCTGATTGATCAGGATTATAAGGCGTATATTAAACGTGAGCAGGATGGTGTTGCATTACACTCAAAGCAGTTATGGGCATATCTCAAACGCAGAAGAGGCGGTACGGGTATCCCATAAACTGTAATTCTGGATGGGGTTGAGGCATCGAGCGGCGATGCCATCTGTTCGTTATTTGCGAATTATTTTAGTGCAGTTTTCGCAGCACCGTCTGCTCCCCATTATGATGCGGTTGATTCTCCGCGCGTACTCATTCATGACTTTGGTCTCATTGAAGTGGAGGGGGCATTGCGTCAAGTAGCTTTGAATAAGGGTCCTGGTGCTGATGGTATACCTGCTACACTGGTCAGAAACTGTGCTCAGGCAATAGCAGTTCCTTTACAGCTGATATATAATAAATCCATTAAGCTGGGAGTGTTTCCGGATGTGTGGAAGCGAGCCAACGTTGCACCCATTTTTAAATCAGGTGATCGACACTTCGTTGTCAATTATCGTCCAATATCTATATTACCTATACTTGGAAAGGTCTTTGAGAAGTTGGTGTACGCTAGTGTATTTTTTCAAATTCGTGGAAGTATTAATACTAATCAGCACGATTTTTTTTTCCGGGCGTTCAGTCGAAACTAATCTTTTAGAATATACCGATTTTCTATTTGCGGCGCTCGACGAAAATGTTCAAGTGGACGCAGTGTACACCGATTTTAGTAGGGCCTTCGACAAAGTTGATCACTCTGTGTTGGTAAGTAAATTGCAACTTTTTGGTATTTCTGGCAATTTGTTGCGTTGGTTTGGTTCATACGTGTCCGATCGCTCTCAGTCTGTACATATTGGTGGCTATAAGTCACGCTTAATTCACACTACATCCGGAGTGCCGCAAGGCAGTCATCTCGGTCCTTTACTGTTTTTAATTTACATAAACGACATTTTTAATAATATTCTTAATTCGCGTTGCCTGATGTACGCTGACGACTTAAAAATTTACCTTTCTATTCGAAACATCGACGATTGTGTTAAATTACAGGCAGATCTTGATAGGATTTGCAATTTCTGTACAAGTAATCAATTACACTTAAACTTTTCTAAGTGTCACACCATCACATTCACCAGGAAAAAGAATTACATAAAATATGATTACATCCTTAACTATGATAAGTTGCGTCGAGTTACATCTACAGTTGATCTTGGTGTAACACTAGATCAAAAACTACGTTTCGATGTTCATGTAGATGGTGTGGTTGCTCGATCATACAGAATGCTGGGCTTTATAAAGCGATCTTCCGAGGATTTCACAAACCACAACGCAATTATAAGTATGTACAATGCATATGTCAACAGCATCTTAAACTTTGGTAGCGTAATCTGGAATCCTCAATATTCCGTATATATCACTAGGTTAGAAGGAATCCAGAAACGACTGATTAAATATTTGTGTTATAAAACCCAACAAGTGTACAGTAACTATGCGTCTGGTTGTGAAATGTTCGGATTGCTAACGCTCTCCCAGCGACGAGCATATAATGACGTTTTATTTTTGTACAAGCTTGTCAATGGTCATACTGATTCCCCATCGCTGATGGCGAGAATTGATTTTCATGTTCCTCCTCGTCAGTTACGGTACGACTTCCTTTTTTATATGCCCACTCCACGAACAAACGCATATCGTAACTCGCCTATTCTGAGGATGGAAAGAACCGCGGATCGGGTGAGTTGCGATCTTTTTTCGAGTAACCCACGAAATATTAAGTTTGCGGTCCGCGAGGCTGTGAAGACTGCGCACATCATGTGTAATTTAAATATTTAATAATGTTAATTTAAGATAACAACATATTTGTAATCACATTAAATATTACTTTAAAGTTTTCGTATATAATAATTATGTGGAGCAACTTTATTGGGTTTGTCCTGTTGTTGCTCCCCGATATCAATAATAAATAAATAAATAAAATGTCAAATTATAAAAGTGAAGTTTAAAAAAATTATATCAATTACATTATCCGAACCGAGAGATGTGTTGGTATTACGGCTTTTTTTTTATGACAGGTTTTAGTCTTTTTAATAGTAATTTTTCAAGTAGTTTTGATATTAAGGGTAATAATGAGATTGGCCTATATGGTGTAACATCTGTAGAGGGTTTACCAGCTTTTGGTACCTATCATTATTATTTCAGCAACTTTCCATCTACTTGGGAAGTATTTCTGTTTAAAAGCAGAATTAATTATGAGTAATAGTTTTGAAATCGCCCGTTTTGGTAGTTGTTTCAATAATTATCAACGCAAGAAGTTAAGCGATATATTTTTCGTAATAAAAAAATCAAGCAGGTCCAGAATTTTACTTCTATCTGTTGGCCAGTAGGTTAGCTGACCAGTGGAGAGCATCTCACAATTTAGGGCCTCTATTGCATGTTGTAATTCTCTTCCTTTTGTATTTATGTAGCGAGAACCCCAAGACATATGTTTTGCATTAAAGTCTTTTCCAAGTATAAATTTGTTTTCAAGATGCAGTAGAATTGCNGCAAAGAAACGTAATATTTGACATAGCATTCACTATTATCACGCCAGCAATATTCTGGCTTCCAAAATAATTTATTCCTGTTAATAGTTCAGCTCTTTTTTATATGTTGCTTTACTAGAACCGGTTTTTAAAAATAATTTTAGGAAACTAAAGCAATCTGTGCAAACATTCTCAACATGATTTCTAAATGAATAGCCCAACCTATTTTTAGTTATAACTTCGTAATGCCGAATCCCATAATTTTGATTTTCCATAATTCTTTCTTGGTTAGTAAAAAGCCTGTTTTCTTGGTTTTTCTCGCAGAGTTTTTATTATTGCTATTTGCCGCTTTGGAGCAATGTAGAGCAACTCTAGAACAATCTAGAACAACATTGAAAAATTTAAAAATCAAAAAATACTGAGCTAACTTCCCGTACTCGATTACCCCCGCAATTTACAACTCCAGAACAAAGTCTATATCCTCGCAAGTATCATCAGCTACGAAGGTACTCACTCTTTGAGTGATGTAGGATACTACACGGCATTTGTGCCCAACAATTAGTTATTATTTAATGATTTAAGAAAAAAATCCATACAGGTTGAAGAAGCAACAGAAATAAATGCACAAATGTGCATATATGTGTGTAAATGAGTTCCGTGATATTAGTCCATTTAGATGATTTAATTTATTTACTTATACTTTACTTTAGAATAATTTTTTGTACAGTTTTTGTGAAAGAATAGGTATTGTTTTGTTAGTTTATTTATTAATTTATTACTTAGTTTTACAAAATAAAATACACTTTAAATCGCATCTTATGTTTTATTATTATAAGTTTAAATAGAAAGGTGATTTTTAGAAAATTAGATGGTCAGATTATTCCATATTTTTTAATTTTTTAAAACTATTATTATATTAACGGTTGGGTTCACTGATTCAACAAAACCTGTCCGATATCACAACAACTAATAAAATTTAAGGTTTTTCTAGTGAAAATAACAGCTGTTCTGAATTGTTTTAATTGTTGTAAGTAGTAATTTTTAATATGAAACTTTAAAAGAACTAAAACCGCAGTGATTAAATAAACATTTTAAGTACCTAGAACAACAAGAACAATTTAGAGNAAATTAAAAATGTCCCATACAAGCAGTATTAACTTCTGCAACCAGTAGGTAGTCTTCTGCAAACAGTATTTAATCTTCTGTAACCAGTATTTAACTTGCTACAAGCCACTTTTAGTCTTTTAGGAAGGAAATTGTAAAATTGGTCAATTTAAGTGACACGGTTTTAATTAAAACTCTATTTTTAACTGAAAAAAATTTGCTTTTCTGCTAAAAAAATATTTTAAATCAAATCGTTTTGCGAAATAGGTAAAGTTTGTCTTCTACAAACTTGTATAATCAGTTTTTAGTCTTCTGCAAGCAATATTTAATCAAATCGTTTTACTTTAGTTGTTTCTATAAACAACGAAATCTTTAGTTAATACCTCTAGAATAATTGTCAAACTAGCTAATTTGATTTCATCTAATTTGAAGTTGCAATAACATCTTATATATTTAGGTAAATGTTATAGGATTTTAGATAAAATAACGAATTTTTCGGCAACTAATCATAGTTAATTAAACTTCCCATTTCATTTTTCTCTGTGTACGTCTCGTATTATCGAGTATTTTCGATCGTCTTGTTGTATAATACATGATAATTGCACTTCCACCTCGAGTCGCATTACTAGGGTGAATTGTGTGATAAATATTGTAAGGTAAAACATGATAAAATGTATGAAATGTCACATTTGTGTGCATGTTATATGTGCAGAAGTTATTCCGAAGACTAAAATTTATATAATATGTTGTTCTTATTTGACCTTTTTGAGTATGATCGATACCTAAATTGTTTTAAATTAATTTTTCAGCATTAAAATTTTTATTATACGTTTAATAAATTATGTTAATTTGAAAGTATATCGAAAAATGTCAATGTGGCCCAAATTAGATAACCTTCCCCTAATATCACTTCCTCTGTGAATGGGTTCAAAATGTTTGTTATAATGTAATTTATTCTAAATTGTGGTGAGAATTCAGGTACCACATTAAACTTGTATAAATGTCTAAAGAATTTAAACAACAACATTTGAATCGATAACACCTCACCTCACATTTTAAGTAACAGTATTGTTTCAATCACAAAAAAGTCTGGGAGAAAACGTTGTCCCCTAAAGGAGAGACGACTATATAAACGAAGAATAAGCTGATGTTTTCTTCAATCCAGTTGTGCAGTTTTGCATTAATAGGCGTTTACTACTAAAAGAAGACAACGAGACCATGAAAAAATTGGTAAGATTATGTAATAGTTATTACGTAATAGAAAAGGTTAAGATTGAAATAAAATTTAATTTCAAACCGAAACTTGTAGAAAGATATCTTTAATTATTGTTTTTGAAAAATCTGATTTTTTTAAGTTACTCGATTACCTTACAACTAGTAAATACAATTCCTTTAATTAGTATATATATTGAGGGAAATGTTAAATAAAAACTATGTTTACAAAAGTTTGGATAACCTGAGGATGTAGTTCACGACTTGTGAAGATTACGTCACGAGTCACGAATTACACACTGACATTTACGAAAAGGTTGTTTCGTTAGAGATATTTAAGTGGGATGATGCGATATGATCCCCTCTTATTTTCACCTATAATTGTGTTTAAATCAACCTTCAGATGTTCAATATATTTCATATATTGTTATTTCATAATATGTCACGATCAATAACTAATTTTTTTGATTTTTTTTCGTATAGATGTGTAAATTTATTTATACTTATAATTCTTATTTTGTTCGATTGTTAAAGATTTTTTTATTACTCGGATTATTAACCTTTACCACGGCTAGACCTCAAAACCAACGGCTCATTCAAAATATAGGAGCAAGGACGATCAAATATTTAAATGAACGAACTGAAAACGGATATAAATTTTCGTAAGAAAATTATACGTTTTGTTTGTTTAAACCATAATAATTTTGTAACATTTTCTTTTGTTGTTAGTGTTGAACAGGATGATAAGCAGTTAAAAGAAGAAGTAGGCGAATTCATTAATCAGGGCAAGGAAAACGAATCGTTATCGGTTAAAGGATACTATTCGTATATAGGAGATGATGGCCAAACTTACGCAGTTTCATACACGGCGGATGAGAATGGATTTCGACCGGAAGGTAAACACCTGCCCCCTGCTGCGAGTAGTCGCAAAGCGCCCGAAATACTTTCTGCACCCATTCCGTCGGGTGCTTTAGCTTCATTGTCTGGAGGATAACTTTCAAATAAGCACAATCAAAGAATGTAAAATTATAAAAAAAGATTTTGATTCTATTTCAGTTTATATTTTTTATTATATAGGAAATTATTAAACAAATAAATCTCAATAAAAAATAGAAATTGATTTTTTTTGAAAGACCTTGTTAACACTAAACTGCCGAGTTACTCTTAGCAGCTAAGGATACCGCGTAGATATACGGACGGAGCAACGTACAAAAAAACAAATCTAAATGCTATGTTTACACTTTGATCTACCTACTATGGTATACCATCAATATTCATTAGGGAAAAATAGTAATCTGTGACATGTTTATGTCAATTGTGCCAATGCCAATTTGTTAATGACGTTACATAAGTCTTAAAAACAAGTATGACTTCGCCATAGAAAAATTTATATANTGTGGATGTAGCGAAGATGAAGTTGGAAAATTATTTTGTTTTCCCAAGAATAAGGACAGGTTAGTATTTTAATTATATTAATTTTTAATTTCAATAGTATTCAAATTAAGTATTCAAATTTTTGATAACACCGTGTTACTTAGGGTAAGAAGCAGTTGGTGTTTGTTATATGTACTTTATCAATTGAAAACCACAGACGAAAACGGCCAACCCAACCCAACATGTGAGGGTCATCCCGGAGAAGACGAGGACATGGGTTTTTAGTGGGTCGGAGATCCAACGATGGGCTCCAACCCCATACTATCCGGCTGCCCAAGGTCCCAGGCTGAATGTCTGTCTTGCAGATTTTCCCCGACCTTATATTGTAATTTAAATATAAAATTTTAAATCGCCAATGGATTTCTCTTTATTTTACATTGAAATTATAAAATTATAACTTTTTGATTTGAGGTGCTTTTTATTGGTCTATTAAGCTGTAATTATTTTGGCTTACGCAAACTAAATATAGCTTAATAGATCCACAAAAAGCACATTAGATCAAAAATATTTCTGTATTCAAATTTTAAATTAAATAAAAAATTTGAATTTGGCGCCAATTGCATTTTTGCTTCTCACTGCCATCTACATAAGTGTTACATGATGAGTGAGAGAGACCGGTATATATTGGATCTCGCCTTTACAATGGAGTTGGCCGTCTGTGATATATGTATAAATTTTTCTATGGCTACAAGCACTTTGTTTGTGTAGATAATGCAGATTGCTACAAATTCAGTCTACAACGTCATCCAGTGGATTGTGAGGGTACTAAAACCTGGGTCTACATTTTTATAGTAGTAAGATTGCACACCATGGACTTCGCAAGCTGCTCTTTAGCACAATGATTGTACGATACGTATTGTTAAATAAATCAGATATTGTGCGTGTCGTAATTCTTTTTAGCAAAGTTGGGCATATGATATACACACGGCAGTGCAATATATCTTAGCTGCTTTATATTACTAAATTAATTATACCTTACCGTTTCATCTTCCACTATTATATTTATATTAATATATGTATTAGTTTACAAGAAACATTGCGATAGATAGGAACTAAAATGGACCAATCAGATATGTAAATTTTGTATCTTGTTATTTTATTTTAGTTCCGAAATTACAGGGTTGCCCCTAATTACAAATTTCAGAACTTAAGGGGCTTCGAACACGGTCTTAAAGTTTCTGAGAGGCATCGCCGTGTGAGGGGAGGAAGCTCGAAGGACGGTCGAGTGGGCTGTATCTAAAACTATGTGTCGATTGCATTCTATATTTCTATTGGGTAACGCGATATGGAGATATAACGTCATTAGTGTTTGGAAGGGATCTTAAAAAATTATTAATAGTTATTTTTGATACAAGATAGCGAAATGACACTTTCGTTCGAGAATGCAAAAGAATTTCGCTGTCGTGTATCAAACAACATTTTTTCGAAAACTGCATATTCTAAAGTTATAAATTAATAAAAAGACGCGAATTACAAAAAAGTTATTAAAAAGTATTTTTATTCCCGCAAATAAAATTTACTTAAAAGCATTCTATTTGTTTCTATATCAATTAGAGTTTTAAATATAAATAAACGAAACAAATTAAAAGCTAATACATATTAAATTTCAGCAGAGTTTCGCTTTACCATTTCTTTAAAATAACAAAATGATAATAATCGGGAGATATAGATAGTATAATAGACAGTAATAATGTATTAATAACATTATATTAATAATTTTATTTGAACTTAATATAATTTATCTATATAAACGTCACTTGATTTAAAAAAAAAATTTCGTATTGTAACTGTTTGATAGAGAGTTGGTTTGGTGAATAAGTGTGAACCAGAAAACCGATATGATATACAAACGATATGTTTTGTAAAGATATTTATTTGTCGAAGTAGAAAAGAAACAGTGTATTGTAATATAAGTATATACAGGCTGTATCTGAATGACTGCAACAAACTTCAAGGGGCGATTCTTTCGTGAATTTTAAGGGCACTTTGATATATGAACCATGGGCGACTTCGGCTCCCCTAAGGAGCTATACCCCTCCAAAAATAGCGGAAAATTTTGGTTTAATTTCTTTTTCTCAAAAACCATAAACGCTAGGAAAATGAAATTTGGGGAATATGTTTAACTCATAATAGGGCACGTTTTGACCCTATTTGTACTTTCAACCTACCCTTCTAAACTACTAAACGTAACCACCCCCGTTCAATTTATGCCTAGATTTTTTTTATGAAGATGATAAATACATTGGAAAAATTTCAGTTAGATAGATAAAACTATTCTAAAACTTTTTTGTCTCTCTGATGTTCTTCTAAAAATTAATAATTTCTGAGAAAAAAAATAATTAAGCAAACACTAACTGTTAAGCTGTAGGGTTGTTAATCGAAAGTTGGAATGAATTTTTAATGAAAAAATCTTAGTAGGCTTTGCAATCTTTGTCAGAAATATTTTTGACGTTTAAATATCAGTGGTTTTCTTACTTTATTATTGTTTTATTTAAAATTTTGAAACGTCGAGTGAACGAGCGTAAATGCGATAGAACTTTATTCAAAAATTAATTTGAAAAACAATAATAATAGTAAGAAAAACTGACATTTAAACGTTAAAAATATTTCTGACAAAGATTGCAAAGCCTACTAAGATGTTTTCATTCAAAATTCATTCCAACTTTTGATCGACAACCCCGTTGTTTAACGGACAGTGTTTGCTTTATTACTTTTTTTCTCAAAAATTAGTCGTTATTGGAAAAATTTCAGAGAGATAAAAAAGTTTTAGAATACTTTCATCTATCTATGTAAAATTTTTCTAACGTATTTATCATCTGCATAAAAAAAATTTTCGCAAAAATGCAAAGGGGGTGGTTACGTTTAGTAGTTTAGAAGGGTAGGTTGAAAGTACAAATAGGGTCAAAACATGCCCTACTATGAGTTAAACATACTCCCCAAATTTCATTTTCCTAGCGTTCATGGTTTTTGAAAAAAAAAAAATAAACCAAAATTTTCCGCCATTTTTGAAGGGGTGTAGCTCCTTAGGGGAGCCGAAGTCGCCCATGGTTCATATATCAAAGTACCTTTAAAATTCACTAAAGAATCACCCCTTGAAGTTTGTTGCAGTCATTCAGATACATCCTGTATAAACGTCATTTGATTTAAAAAAATTTTTCGTATTGGAACTGTTTGATAGAGAGTTGTATTGGTGAATAAGTGTGAACCAGAAAACCGATATGATATACAAACGATATGTTTTGTAAAGATATTTATTTGTTGAAGTAGAAAAGAAACAGTGTATTGTAATATAAGTATGTACAATTTTATTGTATTCACATTGGGTCTAGGAACAAAATGTTTGATAATTTTATTTGTCTACTTAATAAGTAGTCCACTTCTTGATCTAGAACTCAAAGATATCATGTCTTCAAGGAGTTTGCGCAGCAATAATTGCAGCTTTATCAATAAAAAGTCTGAAAAAGAGAACATAGGCTACAGAGTGGCTTTTAAATTTTGAAAAATATACATCATATATTTCTATAAATAATAGATACGACCTTTCTTTCAACTATCTTATTNAATGACCCAATGTCACCAACTTGAACTGGTTCCATAAAATGTTACTAAAATCTCATTACAGCATCGGATGCTGTAAGGAGTCTCATTACAGCACCCGTTTGAGTACTGTTATAGCTTTCATTACCGTCGCGAATTACAAAAAAGTCTTTTGCGTCCTGTTGACAAAAAACTATCGTTTTGACGGTCGCTAAGTACTACGCAAAAATCAACTTTTAATAGCAGTTTTCGAAAAATAATTATTTTTGATACAAGATAGCGAAATGACACTTTTGCAAAAAGAATTTCGCTGTAGTGTATCAAACAACATTTTTTCGAAAACTGCGTATTCTAAAGTTATAAATTAATAAAAAGACCAAATTCAAGATAATGACATTTAGAATTCATTTAATGTTCTGTCAAAAACTTAACGTCACATCGATTTAACCTCACATATTGAACAAATGTACTATTATAAATTTGCATTTAAACATGAAATGAAATGATAAAACAATTAAATGTTGATTATTTTGTGTTTATAATTTGTTCATAACAATAAATTAACAATTAATAGTATCAAATTCTTTGATTGTCGTAGCTGGACGTAAAAGTCTTTTGTGTCCTGGACGTAATAGTATATTAAAAAACAAGTTTCGTAAGACACGCTTGAAATGCACGAATTCAAGTTGAAAAACGAGTGGCGAAGCCACGAGTTTTTTAATGAATGAGTGCTTTAAGTCTTATGAAACGTGTTTTTTATGCTATTTTTTGTAATTCGCG